CCTTCCAGATGACCTTCCAGACGAAGCCGGGGCTGCAAGGGCCAAGGCAAACTGCTGCAGTTGTGAGGGCCGAGCCCCTTGCACGAATTTCATGCATCGGGCCTCTAGTATTTTATATATTTCACAATGAGCTTATTCTATTTGACGGTGAGCCAAAATGGGTATAGAATTATTTTGAATGGTTGGAATTTCTAAATTATTAAAGTTTATTTAAAGCACCAGGATGAAACAAACAAAGATGGAAAGTATAAGAGTTGTTGAGACCACATTAAGAGAATAGAGCCTATCCATAATTAAGTATGTGTTTTTAAATATCATATGTATATTAGGATAATACTCAGCCCATTGGGTTTAAGTAGTTCTGGTACTTGATCTTTGATACTATGGAAAAAGGAGAAAGAGAAAGGAATAAAAGGAGGGGGGAGGAAAGGAGGAATGAAAGTTAGTAGATACCAATATAAACTTGAAGAAAGTCTATAGGATGCCTTCTCCTTTCTCCAAGCACCAACCCAGTTCATGAACAGGTACATGCCAGACTGTCCAGAAGAAAACAATGACCAGCTTCAAAATTAGATAAATAGGTTTCTTTTATCAAAACATGGTGGTGAGAATAAAATCTCATCTGCCCTCTGAAAGCGCAGCCCAGGGCTGTATGTATGTGGGTCTCCCCTGTCTCAGAGAGAATTTATTCCTTATGCATTCTAATATATTGTAAATGGGAACAACAAAAGTGTTTATGGTTGTAGCAGAATGTTATTTAGTTGCAAATAAGAGGAAGCTTCACTAAAACTAGATAAACAATAAAGAGTAGAACTCCAGTCCCAAGTCAGTGGCTCAAACAATATCATTGATATTCTAATTGCTTTGTTTCTCCACTCTGCCTCAGGGTAGGATTGGCTTTTCCCTAAAGGTGGCATCCATCATGGTTGCAAGATGCCTGCCAACTTACCTCTGGGGTCACAGACTTCCTTATCCATATGCAAAGAAGAAAGAAAGAGGGTTATTCCCAATCACTTTCTCAGAAACACAAGGACCCTCCTTTCTGAGAGCCTGTCCTCACCCAAGCACACACAAACCTGTTCTTACACATTCTTGTCCCCAGTGGATCATATTCCTACCTACACCAGTAACTGTGGTCAGGAAAGGGGGAAGATTCACTCACTTCAGAGATGCAGACTTCCTCTTGAATTCAAAAGAGGAATCATCTTTCCCCAAGGATTGATGTAGATACCTCAGTAAACCTGAAGATATTCTATGGGAAGGAGCATTGAAAACTGGTGAAGCAATCACGGTGCACATTGCAAAAGGTTTCCTGTATGCCTGGTAGTTTACTGCACCGTGGCTCTTTCCCACTACAACAAACTTGGATGGGTAGAGCCATAATTCTGAACATTTAGTGTTCCTAACAGTCACCTGCTGAGCTTTCTAAAAATGCAGAAACCTGGGCTGACACCCCAAATTCAAATTCAGTGGATCTGGGGCATTTTAACAAACACCCAGGGTTATTCGCGATGGGCAATGACTTACCTAAATTCTGTATATCATATATATATATATATAATGCCTTTTTTTATCACCATAATTTCCATGCACCCTTCTGCATTGGGACCAGGCAGAGCAATACAGATGCTGGAAGATGGTCCATCCTTGCTGCTTGACACAATCGCTGCAGGGAAGAAACATCTGCACAGCATATGTTTCAAGGGACCTGGCGTATATGGCATAGTGTTCTTAAAATGTTTGCTCCCCTTCTTAGCGCTATGTGTTTTAACCAAGGCCACCTCTCTGAGAGAGGTTGTTTCCCAAGGTAGGGATTTTTTTCCCTGGAGTTAGAGATTAACAGGACTAAGGAAGGGAATAAAACCCCTTAACTAAGTGCCAGGCGGGTAATTAATCACTTTAACTACAAACAATCACTTAGGATAATCTCCTTCAGTTACTTCCTTGTAGCTTAACAGAACAATAGAGTAGTGACCTTGGAATGGAGATAACAAACGCCGTAACCTTTGGAATAGAATGGATAAAATTAAAATCAACTGGTATAAATACAGATGTAACAGGACAATAAAGACTGAACCTGGCTGGAGAACCTGGCTAAAACCTGGCTAGAGAACCTGGCTAGGCTGTTGACCAACTGAATGCTGTCTCTGTGTCATTCCTTCTTCCCAGACTCTGTCCACACCTTTAGGAACCCCTGGACCTGCTGGGGTTGGACCCCAACATACAGAATCATTTGTTAGTTTATGTTCATTCTGCTTGGTGCATGTATTTTCAGTTTTCAGGATTAGAGGAACTTGCATATGAAACTGACTTTCATACCTTCTGTGATACTTACTTCACTTAAATATCACCAAATAGGCTTCTTGTGCCCATTTTGAGGCTTACATGTACTTGTGAGGATCTAGCTGCCATCTGTTAATAGTTCATGACACTTTGGTTAGTAATTCAATTAGCGTACAAAGCCATCTTTGTCAGAGATCATGGAAACAGTGAATTAATACCAATGTTACCCCTTCTATGTGCTTTTGTGAGTGTGTGTGTGCACACTCACACACACACATATTATAGTAGCATAAATATTGGCTACTGACATCTGCATATTACAAGGAACCAAAACCATAGGGATGATGCATAGGAATACAGTTTTATGCAGACTTGTATACCTTTTGACTCTAATGTGTTAATTTGTAAAAAGGAAGCTTTCAGGTATTATTGGTTCAAGTGTAGGTTAGTATACTAGTTGCCCCAGGAGCTTTAGTTTTAAGGCATTTCTAATTGCCAGGACTCCTATAAAATTGAAACTGTGTTTACTTCAGTGCTTGCTCATTCTTTCCTAAAATTCCTTGCATATCCATAAATGCTTAAGGAATAAAACTTAGGCTTAATCTTCCTTAGGCATCACAAACTTAGGATATTTTATTTAACTCCATAGTCACGATTTCACCTTCCTATATCTAGCCCTGGATGGGAGGGGGCTTGAAGTTTCCCAAGAGGAGCTTTATTTTTCAAGGGGTTTTCTCTCTCAGACCCTACATCCAGGTGTTTTATTTGTGTGTGTGTGTGTGTGTGTGTGTGTGTGTGTGTGTGTGTTTTCACCCATGTGCTTACGTTCGACTAACATTATCAGAGCTCTAGTCAGTCCTGGTTTCATGACCATTTCTGCCTTCTTCACTTTTTCTCAGTGGATATGGAATCAGCACTTTTTGAGACACTAAGGCAGAGTGGAAAGAGCTTGGTTTTAAAGTCACACTGACATGAGCTCAAATGCAATTGACCTTAGACAAATTGCCCAGTCACTCTGACATCATTATCTTCATCTTTCAAATAAGAGTAATTTTCATCTCATTGGTTGCTTTATAAATTGAGTTCCACATATAAAGTGATTAGTCATAAGTGCCCCCCCCCCCTTTTTGAATCTCCAGCCTCTTACTGACAACAACCCATCTAAGTCAGCACTTCCACAAACTCCTATGGTCTTTTCTTAAAAAAGGAATTCCTGGAAGTTACCAATAATTTTCCTCTCTGAACATGTTATGATATATTTTGGACGTGATAAAGAAGCTTACAGCTTTTTAAATATTTATGTTCTCCACGCCATGCATGCCAACTGTGCTTGCTCTCTTCATTTGTTTACGTGCCAAGGAGACAAGCCAAGCAGCGTGAGAGGAAAATACTGTCAGGACACAAAGTGAGTTTGTCTAATGTGGACTCTGTGCAGACGTAACCTTAACGGGAAAGAGTGGAGACTGCTCCCTGGTTGCACAGGGCTACCTTGATTAACGAATCACCTGGGAACAAAGCTCCTTTATAAGCAATTCAGCTGAGTAAATTTTTATTTTAAAACTTCATGAATCAAATGAAATAGTGCTGGCTGGTGTCACATATTTCAAGAGTAATATTCGGGGTAAGCTGCACTTGCACACGGAGCTGAAATACCTACTCACAGAGTGTCTATTAGGATAAAGGCGATGGGGTGGATTCTAGGAAAAATTGTAAAGCTACTTCAGATAAACTCTTTTTTCACTATTGTAACCACCATGCTCCACCCCCACATACATCCAGCCATCGATCATTTCCCTGGAGTCTTGCTGCTCCCTTTAAAAACAGAAATCAGAATGATTCACACTTTGAGTTACAGTTCCTGTTACCTTGTATTGATGTTACTTAGTCATATCTCAGTCCTGGCTAGAATTTGGTGCTGCTGAAAGAGATTCTGACTTAACTGGCTTGAGAGGGGACCCAGAGTTGGCATTCTAATACAGATTCACGGTTGAGAACTACAGCTTTGACATAAAGTTGTATTTTCATCTGATGGCCTCTCCTATCATAATATCCATGTTTATCTGCTGCAGTGGGCTGTCGAATTCTTGTGTCAAAAACACATGGGGTAAGTTTATAATAAAGGTTCCTGTGGCCTCAGCAAAGAATCACTACTACTGAGTCGTGAGATATGTGGTAGACGTGAGTGTGTTGTGTGTGTGGTGCGTATATATGTGTGACAGGGGCCCCGGGCAGAACTGGAATATTTCTGCTTAACCAACGACCAAAGTGATTCTGTCTCACTCTTAAGGTTTAATAACTTTTATCTTATTTATAATTTCTATCTCATGGAACAACTTAATTCTTTTTTGCTAATAAAAAGTTCCAACAAAGTGGTTGACTGGGGTATTTTCATGATATGTATAACATATTTTAAACAATATTAGTTATAATAATTACACTCTAAATAAGGTCAATCTTATTTGCAAAAGGAAAGAAAAATCAAATTTATACATCAGAATGGTCTTTTCCAATATATACATATTTTGAAGTATGAGTATATAATTGTTAATTTAATGTAAATACCCACTAATCTGTCATTACCTAATTATCTAATGACAGATTTCTAATATATACACTGAATTTCAAGTTAAGAACTTGTGGTCATTGTTTAGAAATATGAAATCTCAATCTCTCTTTTTCTGTCTCTCTCTCTCCCTCTGCTCCCCCCGACACTGTAGCCTCAGATGAGGAAGAGCCAACTTCCGCAGGTAAAGTGACTATTCTGTAAAGATTATTCTTATTTAACTTAATGCTATTAATAATGGAGACACAATCCTTTGAAGTGCATGTCCTAAGCAGCGGTTCTCAACCCGTGGGTCGCGACCATCGGAAACCACATATAGCATATCAAGATATTTACATTATGATTCATAACAGTAGCAAAATTACAGTTATGAAGTAGCAACGGAAATAATTTTATGGTTGGGGGTCACCACAACATGAGGAACTGTCAGGACAGTTTGTCTAATGTGGACGTAACCTTAACGGGATCGTATTAAAGGGTCGCGGCATTAGGAAGGTTGAGAACCACTGTAAGGTTTCAACCAGAAAACTGGTATAGGTTTACTTATTTACTCTTATAATTTCTTGAACTTTCTTCTCCAGACTAAATGATGTTGGAGTTATAAATAAAAATAGGAAAGAACAGAGGAAAAAATAACACAAAATATCACATCAACATTAAAAAATAAAGGAAATTAAAACTTTCCATAAAATGCCTAAAACAATAAGCCCTACCAGTATTGCTCAGTGGTTGAATGTCAACCTATGAACCAGGAGGTCATGGTTCGATCCCCCGTCAGGGCACATTCCCAGGTTGTGGGCACGATCCCCAGTGGGGGGAATGCAGGAGGTAGCCAATCAATGAGTCTCTCTCATCATTGATGTTTCCATCTTTCTCTCCCTCTCGCTTTCTCTCTGAAATCAGTAAAACATAATGTTAAAAAGTCTAAAACAATAAAATGAGGAGAAAAAAACTAAAATGATAAAATGCAGAAAAAATAATAAAATAGGATAAAGTAAAATGATAAAATATACTGTCAAAACTGTGACATTCTATATAGAATACTGCATTATAAAATATATAACCAGCATTGAAAATGATATTCATTTAAGTTTAAGGATAAAAATTATGTTTTTGCCTTAAATACTCACTTTATTTAAAAACAAAATTTTGTATAACTTATGGCATCATGACTCTATGTTTCTTATCCAGCTAATCATCTATTTGGTAAGCACAGGCTGAAGTGAGAACTGAGTATCATGAAGAATAGAAATGGTAGAGAAGGCATGGTATTTTCAACATCATTAAAACAATGATTCTGTTTAGAATATTTTCATGCTTCATCCCGTCTTGAGCTATTTTTTTCAAACATGCCTTATTCTTCTCATTTGAACCTCTAAATTGCCATTGCAAAAGCAAGTGCCTTTTTTGTGTAGCATTGTAGAGAAGGTACATAATACATCACATCTGCATTTCTCCTCATGGAGAAATGTTCTGCTCTGAATGTTCTGATGGGTTGCATTAACCAAAGGAACATTTTTTTGTAGCAGCTAATTTAGTAGGGCAGTTTCACCTAACACCTGTAACTAGCCGAAGCTTCTTTTATCTCAGTTGAATATTATGTTCAGGTATTTAAACATCTCATTTCATTGAGTGCAAAAACACATTTATGAACTATACAAGAAATTCCTTCAAACTAGGTTACATCCTAATATCTAATTACAAACTAATGAGATTCATATTTTTTGAAGCTGCCATAACAGATACTGTGCCTCCAAATGAATCACCTTTAGAGGTGATAAATGAAATCCAATTATGTTGCTATTACTCAAATAATTTTTCAAAACTCCCTTTTGAAATTTTCTTCAGAATTTGTTTATGAGATAGCAACATCTGTTATTTCCTTATAGTTTCAGAAGTGTGCTACTGAATTCATAAGACTTTGTCTAATAAATATGTCTACACAAACCAAAGATTTGCAAAGAGTAAGAGTGTGTGTGTGTGTGTGTGTGTGTGTGTGTGTGTGTATCTATGGGTGTGAAAAGCAGCTCAGTTTGTAACTTTGAAATCAAATCAGTTTACAACTTTTGAAAGGTGAATCACATTAAGGTTAAATTTCATGAAATAACACTCTTTAATAAAGTTAAGTCAGTGGCTGCTGCTCCCATGTTGCACAAATCCAATTATCATTTATTTAAGTTTCATAATAGTGAGAGCCTTCATAAACTGATTATACCAATACTTTTGTCTATGTCATTTAGAAAATTAGGACATTTACATTAGAAACTTGACTGCTACAAATGATATAATAAAGATATAATTTAATTTATTAACTATAAGGTATATCAAATCAGGCTTATTGATATGTAAACTTACTCATTCTTGTTAATTTATTTGATCTTTTTAGCTATTATTTTACTTTTTTAGATATATGACTTAAGTATCAAATTGACAAAATTACTATAAATTAAAACAAAGGCAAAAAATAGGAATATTTGACTTTGGGTGATGATAAACACAATGAAATATACAGATTATGTTATAGCATTGTACATTTGAAACCTATATAATTTTATTAACCAATGTCACCCCAATATATTTTAAAAAACAAAGGCAAAAATGGAAAATATTATTGAATGAGATAAAAATCAGTCAAAACTGACAGTGGAAAGCTTGTGGCTATATGGAAATCAGTGGCAATAATTAGTCAAAATATAACTTTGTGTTTTTGTTCATACTACCTAAAAACAAATATTTAATTTTCTGTCTCTCTTGCCTATGGGTAGATTTTTTATTGCTTTAATTGTCTTTTTTTAATATCAAAGAGACTGAGTTTGGGCTTATATAAAACTAGCTATTAATACTGAGTTAACATTTAGGAAAAATTATGATTAGAAAAATTAAATATTCAGAGAATATAAATGGTAAAATCTTTTTAGCAATCAACTAAATTAAAAAATAGTAAACTACAAAAGTCATAGTGTTCTTCATATGATTATAAATGGTATCATTCACTTAAATGTAAAATTGTATTTGTGGCCTATTAACATCTGATACTATTGGGTAATGATGATAGAGGTTGCGTCCTGGATACAATAGTTTATTGTAGACTCATTTCAACATCTGTGATGCCCACCAGAGATGAAGAAAAGAGTGATTTGACCAGAGCTTCAACATTCTCATTTGTTTCTTCCAAATCTTTTGACATGTTTAATCTTTTAAATGCTCAGTTTGGCCATTGAGGAAGTACAACTAAGAACACTAATAATCTGCATGTATAATGTAACATTGGCTAGCAGTAGTAAAGATTTAAAAGTATAGTTTTATGTAAAAATATATATTTATCACAATAATTTTATATCTATATATTTATAGTTTAAATAAGCCGTATATATGGCTTAACACAAATGTGTTATATATCTATACAGCTAAACACAGGACAGGTTAGATGTTCTTCTCCAACTTTGGAAATATTAAAATTTTAGTTCTACAAAACATTTGTATTTACAGTGAATATTATGATTTTCTCCACTTTGCTACAGAATCCTTTCAGATCTTTTTCCTGTTTTTGTATGGAGTTTAATTCTACATGACCGACTATACTCAATTATTCAACAGTTCATGCATTTTGAAAAGGAATGATATCTTACCACATTATTCTCTAATGAATAAGAGTTGCTTTTGCATTCTAATCTTAGCGCTTTATTTCCTTGGGGGTCTGAAATAGAGCTTGGCATTCTTGTTTTTTACATTTGTTAAAAATTTTCTCCATTTTATACGGAAATGAATATTTCCCCTCTGTGCCTGGATTAACTTTTCTAATTATTTTATCAAGTATATTCTTGTTCATAAATATATGCTAAACAGAATTAAATATTAAAACCTAATATGTAAAAGACCAATTTCTACAATCTCTTGAAAAACAAAATCATTATTTGTAGATTCTCAGTGCAATAGGGAAGAAAACTGCTGCTTAAGATTTAGTTTTGGTCAGTTTCATGAAAAGACCAAATAGTGCTTACCTTTTTAAAAAATATACTTTTATTGATTTCAGGGAGAGGGAGAGAGGGGTAGAAACATCAAAGATGAGAATCATTGATTAACTGCCTCCTGCACACCCCATACTGGGGATCGAGCCCCGAGCCCCGAGCCCACAACCTGGGCATGTGCCCTGACCTGGAATCAAAACATGACCTCGTGGCTCATAGGTCAATGCTCAACCCCTGAGTTGGACAGTGTTTACTTTTTTTTTGAAACAAAACTTCCTTATTGATAAGTGTGTGATAGTGATTTTGAACTGTGAGAAAAATAGTTTTTTAAATCCCTGTTATATGTAGATAGTTTTTTTTTTCATATGTTCACTAAGATAAACTTCACTCTAGTACAGAATTCTGGTAACAGTAGGAATTTGAGAGATTAAAGATTTCCTCTTTAAACAGGTTTAAGAATTAAAGTAATAAAAGAGGGAAAAGTAATATCTTTACTTACATACCTATGAATATAGATATATATTTATAATCTATCATTTTTACCCAAAAGTATAAAACTGGACTTGAAATAAATAGTTAAAAGTCTTAAGAAATATGTAAAATAACTAAAATCCCTCATAATCAAGCTTGAAGATATCATTTATTCAGTAATGTTTGTAAATATCTAGCAATGCACATGTTTAAAAATATTTATGTATAGTGACATAATTATTTTAGTTGTAACTGAAGCACCAATTTAATGTTGCTTAAGTAATAAGAGATGTTATTGACTCACAAAATTTAGAATGAAGAGCTCATTGATGTCACTAAAAATCTGTGTGATATTTTTCTTTCCCCCGATTTTTCTGCTTTGTCTACTGTAGTGTAAAATTTATCTTCATCTTCAAACTGGCTTCCCTTGTGGCGGTGATATATCTGCCAACAGCTGCTGTGGCTGTATGCATCTTTATTCGTGTCCAGTGAGGACAAAGAAATGGTATTTGTTCCCCTGCCTTCAAAGCAAGAGTCCTGAAATCCATTCTAATTGGACAGGCTCAGATCCCATCTGCCACCCCTGAAACACCCAGCCAGTCAAGACATTCCCCTGTACCAGATCATGAGGTTGATTTTAGCTCTTTCTTAAAATCAGAAGCCACGAGGATGAGGGGCAGGGTATGCCATAGGAAAGGAAAGCTTGCAATTCATACTAGGTAGATGATTAGTAAAGCCAACAAAA